TATCCACTAGAATGTCGCACATGGTCGATTTTGATCTGTACAGCTTTGAGGCAAGACCTTAGTGTAGGATGTTTTATTATTTATTATCTAGCTGTCAATCTATTAGACAATAGAAGTTTTGGATTAAAGATGATCACTAATTTGTTTTTGCAAACTCTTGGGTGCGCTATTAAATTAATAAGAGCTCCCAAAACATACAATCCTGATTTACTTGAAATGTTTTATAAATAATGATCTCACTAATTTTTATTTATTTCTCTACCATGTTCGTCTGCAAATAGATCTTTGTTCAGGGATTTGGTCTCTAGTCTTGCACACGAAGTTCATGAAATTTGATTATTACCTATATATATTGTCACAAAATTGAGATTAACAAATTCTGTAGTCTATCTCATACAGATGCACAAACACATATGCCATAACACAGTTTAAAAGCTTATGCATAACTCTTTTTCCTTGTAGGGCTACTGTAATTTTCTTCCAGAGCAGAAGTTGATTCAGGCCGTAGAAGCTGGCCAGGTAACTTCATTTATTTCTTATCAGTTCTTGTTTCGATCAAATTAGTACTATTCTTTTCTGTTTTGCTGCTAAACTAGCAGTTTTCTTTATATATTTATGATTATTTAAGGATGTCTTATCTTGGGCTTTCACATGAACGACGTACATGTTAGCATGACTTGTACACAGAGACACATACCTAAACCACTTTACAATCCCTAGGACCATCGTTGTATTTATGCTCGTTCTCGAAGTATAAGCAGGTTACACAAGGCTGCTCCATACTGTCTTATACACTGTATTAGTGCACACATCTTAGGATATCAAATGTAATATATTTTGAACTATAAAAATAAAAAAATAATGTTCAGTTTGAGCAAAATTGTAGAAGAAATTGACATGCATTTTGATCAAGGTTTAAATATCAGGTATCAAGGAAATATCGGATGACCAAATTGCATTCCGTATTGCGGATATGTGGTAAATATCGGGGATATGTGGTAAATATCAAAGTAACATATCGAATGATGTGCAATACATAATATAATGTCACAAAATGGAATACAAACACAATGAAATCTAAGCCAAAAAAATGTAAATAATATATGTATAGGATCACTAGCCAATTATAGAAACATACTTAGAGAAAGGAGCCTACTAGAATTTACTAAAAAAACTTCTTGGGGCTGGAAATTTGCTAAAAAAACATTAAAGAAAATTTCCAGAACTATATTGTTTAGCGACAAGTAGTATAAAATAACATATCGGCCAACATATCAACTGATATATCGGTCGTGTCAGGAATATATTGCCCTAAAATTGCCAATAAGCTATAAAGGATAGTGGGATGATATCGTTCTGAAAGGATTTATCGGTGGACATATTAGCTATATTGGGGATATTTAAAACAATGATTTTGATGGGTAAAAACATACCTGACAATGTCATTTTCTCTAATTAGGATGATATTGAAAATTAGGAGGGTGTACTAGTAGAATTAAAGCAATTAAACATATTTGGGCTCTTACTGTCAGAGTTTGTATAGATGTTCAGTGCTCTTATAATTGAAGGGGAAAAAAAATTCTATTCCAACATAAGACCAACTATGGCTTTATAGGCTAGAGTGTTGAGCAGTTCAAATCATACAACGAAAAAAGGAGTAACTGAAATAATGTCTAGATGGATGGATATGTCTTACAGATTTGATAAGAAATCAGTGAAGAGTATAAATTGAGGAAGTGCATGTGAGGCCAATAAGTTGCTGGTTTTCAATTATAGGATGATATTTAATAGTAACAATGTCTCTGGACACAACTAAATGAACATGAATGAAAGCAGTTAAAGATGAGGTAAGAGTTATTATTTAATCAAGCGGTGACCCTAAGTAGAGCTGAATGGAAAGAAAAAATTCATGTAGCCTGTCCGAAAGTTTGATACAAACATTCGTACTACAACTCTTCAGCGTCTTTTTTATTTATTGACATAAATTTCAACATGTTTGGCAGTTGCTGCTTGTTCCTTTTTTATTTAATTATCATGATGAGATGATAACTGTTCGGCTGTGTTGATGGGCGTATAGTATCAAATTTGAATAGAGTTCGTGGCCTTTTATGGGTCAGCCTTGCTTTTAGCTATAGTATGCCTTGTACTACCACACAAGTACAGCACACCGGGTACTTGAGTTAGGATCATTGGCTGGGACAAGAAGAAAATTGAAAAGATGTCTTAGGAGCAAGGCTAATTCTTAAGATAGGTTTTTTAAACTTTAAACATAAATTGGAGGTCTAAAATCTCATTTGCAATGGTTTTGAAGATGTTTAAATATTACTAACATAGAGTTTAATTATTTATGATTGTCAGTTAAAGTTGATCATGTTTACATGACTTTGGCGTTATTTACATTATCTTAATTAATTTTTTCAAAGACATGCCTTTTGTTATTCTTTTGGTTAGAAACTACTACAGCTATTTACTTCTTGAAGGAAAACAAATGTAGGGAAGGAAATTGAAACCAATAGCTACAGTGATCTCTTAGTTTTAGTCAAGTTATATAACTGCAAAGTCATTTTGGTTGAAACCATTGCACATGTTAGAGTACATATTCAAAGCATGTGGAATTGCCTCTGTAAAGGAAGTTTACGGTGCGTGAAGCTAGAAAATATAGTAAATATCCCTGTGTTTCTGAACATAAACATGCAGTCTTCACCAATGATCATCTTAGATAATTTTTGGATGCTAAGAAGGCATCTAAGAAATGCTCAATTATGTAATATGATACTTTAACACGTGGTGTTAGTTACTTTAAGATTTATATAATGACATCGCTACAACTTTATTTTAGATGAGTAGTCTGGGTCTCTTGTTGTGATTTTTCTGAAATTCAAGGGACGAGTAAATTGCTAATAAGGCGGTTGAATGGAAGAGCTTTATATACTTTGGTGTACAAGTTGGTGAAGTTGGCAACCTGAAACTTGATTTTGAAAATCTTGTTGTGTAATGAGATTTAGATACTGACAAACCATGAAAAAAAAATTATATGCTTTCATGTTTATTAATTTTTTCGGACCCCCTTACCGATACTCCTGGGTCGGCCACTGACTGAAGTATATTGTAAAGGATATGTATACATGGATGAAGCAGCCAAGTGTAAGCAAGCAGAGGTTTTATAGTCTAGTATTTTTCGAACATCCTTGTGTATGATTCTGAGACATTAATTTTTGACATTTTCATAGTCTATGAATCTATCTTATCGAAGCTGGATCAGTTAAACTTGCTTTTGTTTCTAAGATGAATCATGTTGAGTTTTTTTAGCAATACATGTGTCACTGTCTGGAGGGTAATAAGGAATGGTATTTTCTTCCTCCCACATTTTCTTTATCTTGTCATATTATGTTAAACTGGTCATGTTCTATTTAGAAACTACCGTATGTGTTTACGGTGTTTTTTTGAGATTGCAGGTAAGTAGGCACGAGTTCTGTCCTGCCATATTAGAGTTTGTATGAAATCACTAGTATTGCTTTATTGCAATGAAGCTTTCTATTGATCTTTTAGATCTACATTTTCTGTATATTCTGGTATTAGAGGCAGGTGGTTCGTCCTATATAATCAGTGTATATAATTAGATCTTTTACATGACAATTGATATTTCATATATCTTCTGTTTGTCTCCTTGCTAGGCTGCAATACGAGAAATTTGCAGAGAGGTGGAGGCTTTAGTCAAGAAGTGCGGGAAGCAGAAAATGACTGATGCAATCAAATTACCTCCTGCTGAGCTATATAGGCACGTTGAAGTATGAAAACATGTCATGCCTCTCTTTATGTTTTAATGTTTTAAAGTATTAAAAGATGCTATTGTTCTTTTTCTGACAAAGTTCTTAGTGATGTTCCTTATTACTGCTACTTAATGCCACTTTCTCAAAATGTGATTTGAAGATAATACCAAAATCTTTTGGTATGGACATATAATAAACATTTCTATGATACAATTTCGAAGAGTTTTCTTGTCCAGTGATAACCCTTCTTAAGTTAGGCTTCTTCAGCAAGAGAGTAAGCAAGAAAAAACACATCATGTCTTCTAGGCGCCATTTACTTCGACAGTATCTAAATGTTATTTTCTTTTACAACCGTAATGCCCAAAAGTATGTATCTAGCTTAGCATTAAATGACCCTTAAATAGGTTAATTGAGAAAATTGATTAATTTATCTGATCCAAAAGATTTGGATAAACAGCTTGGTTTTTCTGCACAAAATCAGCATCAACAGGAAATTTCTAGTTGAATGTTGCACTACAAGATTTTCTGTTGTATGTCAAATTACCAAAAGTAGTTGTATCTGCTTTTTTCAAAAATGAAGAATTATTGCATAGATGTCTAGTTCAGAAAATGTTGGTCATCTCTTCATAGAAAAGCAATGCTAAGATTTAGGGATTTTTGAATAGACCTATTACTGAGGATTCTAACCCTAAATTATATTTTCTTTTTCCATTGAACTTGAGTAATCCAAAGTAATAGCTTGTTTGGTTGTCAATTTGACTCAAATTCTAAGAATAACATTTTAAAAAGTCTCAATCCTTTAGATTTGACAAAAGAGCCAAAAACCTGGATTGTAATGAAAACCTGGATGCTTGAGCCCTCAAAACAAGTAATGTCATCAATTTGAATTCATGGTCTTGCTAATTGTATACTATAACTCTTAAATTCCCTAACCGCTACATCAAAACTCGAAGTTGTGGTGAGGATTGAGGGTTATTTTTTATAGTCTAACGTGCCCCCACAAGTTGAGTGTCCTTTTCATGGGCCGAAACCTAACTCAAGCAACGATGACAATTATAGAAAATCTGTTTTAAATTCGTGATAGGTGGGATTTGAACTTGGATTGCTCTGATACCATCTTAAAGTCCTTAACCTTTACACCAAAACTCCAAAGTTATGGTGAGGGTTGAGGTTTATATTTTTATAGTCTAACATTCCCTATTAGACTATAAAAATATAACCGTCAATCCTCACCACAACTTTAGAGTTCAGGTGCACTGTTATAAATAGCGGTAAATAGCCCCGCAATAACAGCGCTAATAGCGTTAGCGGTCTCTTCCCTCGACGCTATCGCCCGCTACGCTATCGCAATAGCGGTGACATATTACGGAATATGTCTGTTCGCAAAAACGATCAATAGTGTCATAATGGTAAATAGTGAGCGACTGCATTCGGAATTTACTTTTTGATTGCTATTTAAAAGCGGTTTGAGGCTTATTTTCTTAAAATTAAACTCAACCATTGACCATTACATTCCACCGTCTCCTGTGATTTTCTGCATACTCCCGCCACCTCTCATAGTCTCTGGCACCTACCTTGATACTTTCTCTCACCTCCTTCACCGTGAGCTCCTCTTAGGACAGTACTGTCACTGTTAAGCTCTTCTTCTCGAAGACGACTTTTTGACTCCTCCAGTCATCTTCGGTATTACGTGATGGTTACATGTCTATTGTCTCTTTAAATCATCCAATATGTATTTTTAAATTTTTTAGATTTTTCTTTAATTTTTCTTTTTTTAGTGTTTATACATCTCTAAATTAGACTGCTATTGACTTTGCGCTTTTTACCGCTATTTTATTGCAATAGCCCGAAATAGTCTTAGCGATGCTTCACCGCTATGCGATGCTTCACCGCTATCGTGTATCGGTTGCATCATTTAAATGGTATCAGACCAAATTTTGCTGCTGGTCATAACCTCCAGCTTGGAGCTAGCCTGAATATCTGAAATTATCGAACTCAAACAACCTAGTGATAATTGCTCCGCAATTGTGCCCTTCTCACTGACATAAATACCATTGAGGAACTTTGTAATGTCTTTGTTCTTGACCTGGCACTTCTGATTTATCAAAGCAACAGATTGTGAGACGAGCTCAATATCATTGCCATCAAGAACAAGGTCATCCTTGACCTTCTCAGAGCGAAGGATAGTCAAACCATCAAGCATGTCCACTTTCCTCACCTTTTTCTTACCAAGAAAATTCCTAATCTTAATACTCGAATTTGAACCGCCAATACTCACGTTGATCGGAAAGTGAGCATACACGAATCTCATCTTGTACCTATAACCCCCTTCGTAACCCTAGTGATGAGATTCTGCATGTGACTAATCGTCGTCCTGATTGCCACCATCGCCGTCCTCGATCTGAACCAGGCCTTGACCTTGAGTTTGTGACTGTCATTTCCGACTGTCGTCGAGGATCTGGAAGTCTAGGTTAAGGTGCTTGAAGTTGCGGGTGAGCTTACAAGCGGGGTCCCTCCAGGTTGACGATCTTGGCGTTGAGACCTTTACTCCCTCAGGGACGTCCATTCCATTGTTTGTGAGGGGAGAATTGTTTTCATCTTCACTCTAAATCTCGCTCGCTTGCTTGAGACTTCGGAATTTTGGTGCAATGGTTGAGTTATTTAAGATGCTATTAGAGCAGCACAGGTTCAAATCTCACCGACCACAAATTTAAAGAGATTTTTAAAAAAATTGGTACCACTGAGTGAGTCTAGGTTTTGGCCCATAAAAAGGTTGCTCAACCCATAGGGGTAATGTTAGACTATAAAACTATAACCCTCACCACAACTTTGGAGTTCTGGTATATTCGTTGGGTTATTAAACAATAACCCTGCTTGAAAGCTGTTTTTTTAAAATGGTTTACTGGCTATCTCCTACAGAGATTATCTGACATATTGGAGTATTTTCATCGATGAGAAGTTATTAGATCCACGAGCCACTACCATGTTACATACCCTCAATACATAAATTATTTTGTTGAATTGTGCTATCCCTTCAATTTTTCATCATGACTGGGTATCAGCCTTGTGTTTAGTACCCCAAGTTTAGTGCTTTTTTACCCCATTCATCAGATCTTATATTAACAACTGGACATGCTATACTTGTTGCTAGCATGAAATATTTATCAATACCCTGTACATGACCAGTGACCACACATGCGGATGCTAGGTTGTTGGCTTTTCGAGTTTGGATTGCACTATACCAACTGGAGTTAGTTAACTTAGGTGTGTGGATTAAAACTCTTACTTTGATCTAGTTGGTTTATTTTAATCCCGTGGGTGTTTATCACATGCAATCTTCCTTGTACCTGATTATTGTTTTATCAGGTTATATAAGTTTTCATTTGTTAATTAAATTTATTCTTATGACCACTGATATAAAACATTATTTCTCATTTCTGACAGGATATTTCAGCAGATGAACTGGTGAAGGCACTACAAATAAGAAGCAAAATACCACGAAGAAAAGCACTTTCTGCATTAGAGGATAGAGTACTGAATATACTTACTGAAAAAGGGTATGTTTCAAAAGATCAAGTTTCTGGAGCTGCTGAAGGCCTAGTGGATATATGTGATGATGAAGATGAGGATGAGGAAGTAATCGTTGATGGTGAAGTAGATGAAGGAGATGTTCATATCAAGCCAGTTGCAAGAAAACCTGTCCCCTTGGTGAGGACCATCAGTTGGGTTATAAATTATAATGCTTTATTATTATCATAGTTAGAATATAAAATTATAACCCACAACTCTCACAACAACTCTATGGCAAAAGAAGACCTTTCTTATTTCCTACTACCACTTATGATAAAAATACGCATGAGTGGTGTTGAGACCAGTATTTGGTAGCCTTCCACATTCTTCTAAGTGTTCCCTGCGGAGAATCTTTACTTCATTAAAAAAATAAGTACACTCAAAATGAACTCAACTAGCTGAAGAATGCTGTTACCTTGTGACTTCTTTATAATGTGAGCATCTAGGGGACGCTATATAATCCTGCTTGTATATTACCTTTTATTATTTTAGAAATGGAGACCTGTTTAATGGGGGAACCTTTGGTTGCTTCCTATCAGGAGTGTCTACGTTTGATACTAACTTTTATTGACAGAAATATTGTACTAACCATTGATATTCATTTGGTATTAGCCTTCAAAAAAATGGTCTCACATACACAAGAACACAAGAACATATGCATATTAAATGTAGAATATGCATATATATATTTGTTGATCTCCCAGCCATTATCATGTTATTGACTTTTGTTCTCTTAAATGATGTAATGTTTTATTGACATTTCTCGTCATTTTCTTCATCTAGCTTTTCTCTGAAGTGGATGTGAAACTCGTTTTCAAGGAAATAACATCCAGATTCTTGCGCAAACGCATAGTAGAGGTACACACCATATTCCATTTATAATATACAAATGTCAGGTTGAAAGTTTTCATGCCAGTGACTTGCCTTCTAGCTGTATGTTTTTGGCATGTTTATGATAGGCTTTTACACAATTTGCCTTCACCGGTGATGCCAACATGAAAACAGCTTAAACCGTGTGAAAACTATGATTACCTTGTTCACAATGGAGTACTTAACAGAAGTATTTTGCTGCTGTATTTGGGGTTATTGCAAATAACGCCCTACTATGGGGGATTCTGCAATTTTACTATAATTTTTGCCATCCAGACAAGGTTAAAATTTTCCATCTAAATTATGTGACATCCAAATAACTTGAACTGAACCTGACATCATTTAAATGTTAGCTCTTACTCAAGATCTAAATGTCATATTGACTCATTCTAACAGGAAAATACTAATTAAAATTTTAATTCTAAGTAACCTCCACCACTTCCACCTAAATCTTCAACTAAGCCCTGGACTCTAGCCGTATTCTTTCCCTTCCTTTTCCATCCCACCACTGCCTCTTACTTGTACGCATCACCCCCTACACCTTCTCCATTATTGATTGAGATGGGAATTAGGTCCAATAATGACATTGAAAGAGAAAGGTGGTGATGGGTAGGTGAAGAAGGTGGAGGTCTGGGTAGAAGAAGGGTAATTAGTAGAAGATTAATGGTGGTGCTTGTAAACTAGATTAAAGTTCTGTATATGGTGTAAGCTTCAAGTGAACTACTTGAAAACTCTACGCAGAATATTGTGGTCTATGTAATTGGTCAGTTTGCTTGCTTTTGCAAACGGATGTATCGAAATTAATATTCATCAGGTAAACATTCTCAAGATTCTTTCCTGAAAGAGGAAAAGTTTCATACATTTTTTTTTTATTGAGAGCTTGCCTAAGTCTATTGTTTTCTGTTTGCCTTTCAACAAAACCCTCTAAAGAAGACATCTTTGATATTCTGGGACAGGAATACACATAATGAGTGCAATATAAATCAACATAATGGGGAACATGGTTCATTGTGTTCGAGTAAAATGAAGATTTGGGATTGGTAGTGCCTGCGTTCTTTAACAGCTAAACTGGTTGGTGCTAGAGTACTTGGGATTGGTTATTGGTTATCACTGAACAGGCATCTTAAGGGGGAGGGATAAGTGAAATTGGGTGTGGATAAAGAGAGTTGAAGTCATGGATTTAGGAACCAGCAGAGAGAACTGAAAATTCAGAAAGAGAGGGGGAGATCCGGAGAGGTAGAGGGTTACCAGTGAGAAGTCGGTTCAAATTCGGGGATCTTGGGTTCTCTTTCTGAGAAGTGAAAGGTGAGAGATTGTGGATGAGGAATGATTCCTAGAAGTTGGATCTGTCCCTCTCAAGATACATACGAGGCATATTAGAAAAGTAGAGAACTTAAGTACATGATTGGTTTGGTCAGTCCGGTCTTTTGGGTTGAAATTATTTCAACCTGAACCATAATGATTAAATATTAAACTGAACCAAATGCCTAGGGTTGGGTTGTTTGGTTGATTATATTGGTAGACTGAATATGCTTAGTCCTACTTATGTGCGTTAGAAGATATATGGTCCACGTGATTGGTTGACCCATCAGTTTTCCTGATATTACTAATCACGTGGGTGCAACTAACCACCACGAATTAGCCAGTTTGGCATCTATTGCTTGAACCTTGTATAGCCCATAAGTTGTAAAACTATGCTTTTGTATTTTTTTTCCTCTGCAGTTATTTTCACCAACTCTACTCAATTTAGCCGCATTTTAATGTAAATTTGTTTCCTGTTTTGTCTTTTTTCTCATTTGTTTAGAAAAAAATATTTGATGTTCTTGTAATGTATAAGATTTGACAAGAGTTGATTTGTTCCTTTAACTCTCACTAGTTCAGTTCGAAACAAGAATATGATAGTGGCTTATATTAATAGGAAGAAAAATGCAACTGGAAGATAGTTAGAGGCTATAAGTTTATGCTCTGCCCATGATTCACAATATTTTCTTTTTCTTTGTTGTAGGGTGGTAAGCGTAGTGATGGTCGGAATCCTTTCGAGATTCGTCCAATCAACTCAAAGTGTGGACTGCTTCCTAGAGCCCATGGAAGTGTGCTTTTCACTCGTGGAGAAACGCAGGTAAGGTAATCTCTTCTCAGTGTGAGTATTAGATCATAGTAAGGAGTTAATATTCTTTCTTTCTTTTTATTTAATTCATTCTAGATTTAAGCTTCAGTTTGTGGTGCTTCAGTCATTCATATACTTCATCATTATAATGAGAAAATTCTTTTTATACCTCAAATATCTGGGGCTAAGATTAACCTTGTTTTGATAACTTTGTACATAATATTGATATTATCTATTCAAGGACGAGTCTTGGTACGATAATAAGGTTGCTCATTTATGACTTGGACTCAATAGATTTGAGCCATGGAGGAAGTGCTATAAAAGCGGTAAAATTGCTTATAATTGATAATCCTTCAAAGTCCATCCAATGATGTCGTGCACTCTGCGGGTTAATATTTGAAATTTCTCAAATCACATAGCACAGCATATCACTATCTTAATTTGTGGTTGTATGTTATTTAACAGTGCCAGATTATATATGTTTTCAGACGATACCTTCTTTTCTTTCCTAGCGAAAATATAAGATGCACGGACATTAAATTTCTCTCAGGGAGGGACCTTTTCCACATTAAACAATGGAGGAATTGCCTCTCATGTTATATTGCATCAATTTGCGTTTTTTCCGGACAAAATGAAACTTGAAAGGCAATTGAAAGGCTAGAGGCTTCTCTTGGATATTCATGATCATTCTTTTCTATTTCTAAGAGCAGGTGAGGGTGCAGACCTATATTTGACAACAGAGATAAGTGAAGATTTGAAGGAAAAGTAACTATGATGATGGATAATTGGTTGGCATTTATTTTAACAGCCAATACATACTCTCTTAGTCTGGGACATTCAACAAAATAGTAATTTGATTTCCCTCTATTTAGTACACTTCTTTTTTGGTATAGGACAATTGATATAATAGATTGGTTCAATGACTCAAGCGAGCCATCAGTTCCTTCACAAATAGAATGGAACTTCATCAGATTAGACTTGTTGGCCATATAAAATCCATATTTTCTAATTTATCCATGTTAAAGTAGTAGTTGTCAGCATTTTTTGTACTTCATCTGAGGTTTTTACTTCATAGTTGTGTTAGTAGAAATGTACTCAGTGGAGGGTGGAACATGTGTTAAAGGGATTGGGGTTGTACAGGTTTTGAATCCTGTTCTAGACCAAGTTGGGGTACTTATTCACATATAAATAAACAAAACTTAAACAAATAAATAATTGCAGAAATTGTTTTCTCCTATGAAGCATTTATTTATTAGCAATATCTTTTCCTTCCTTCCATGTTTATATTCTAAAATGAATCTTGAATGTACTCCATCCATGTATTCTACACATGAAGTAATAACCATAAGTTTTGAATACATTCTGATTCGATGTCTACAAAAAAACCTTGAGTGCACTCTAGTAGGCAGTGAGTTGACTGATATTTGTTTACCTCTTACGCTTGGAGTAAGATGATGTGCTATTTCACACTTTTTCCCATTGTCGCTTAAATCTGAGAAACTAATTGAAATTTCTGAATGCGCAAAGAACTTACATGTTTCTTTGAGCACCACAATTTCTTAGTACGTTATCATCAATGAATTTTGTGAATATCAATCCAATAGATTTTTTTTCAGCAAGTTTATCTTCCTCATATATGTTTTTTAGCTCTATAATATGATCATGTAAAGATTCACTATTTTACTTTCTTCAGTTTACTATTCGAATGCTTTTTGGTATTACTGGAATAGTCCTCTTCATATATGCTACTAATTTAATCGCTTCTTGGTCAACCTAATAATAGCTGATGAATAATAAGGCGAAACTGTTGTTCGTAGTAGAAATGTAACATGGTAATCATTAAGAATCAAGATTCAAGAAAAGTATACATACAACCTGTTATGGATATTTTCTTTTATTTTTGACGTTAATATTACTTTCTCTTGTAGTCACTGGCTGTGGTTATTCTTGGAGATGGACAAATTAATATTACTTTCTCTTGCAGTCACTGGCTGTGGTTACTCTTGGAGATAGACAAATGGCACAAAGAATAGACAACCTTGTGGATACAGATGAGTTAAAGAGATTTTATCTTCAGGTTTGTCTTTATTAAGTCACGAGATAACTCTTTTAAGACTGACAAAAGCAACTATCAAACTCGAATTTTTTTCCAGCATTATTCAAATCTTTGAAAACATGTGTTTGATCTGGCTTTATCTTAAGAAGTGGGAACATACTTTTTTTATGTTTTTTATATCATTGAGAGTTATTCTCACTATAGGTTAAGTAGACACATTTCTTCCATTTTTCAATCATTTTTGTTTTCCTTCTCTTCTTATCTCTACTCACTATATGATGAAGATGTAATAAGTTTGAAATGCTTTTCTTGAGAGAGAATGTTTCTTGATAGGTACTTATCAAGTTGCGTTATTTTGGCCAGCAGAAAAAGATGCTTAATATTTCTGATTCTCTATCAATTGTAAAAATTCGTGTTAGTTTAAGGATATTCTGCTACTGATTTTATGATGGCGTAACACTGCTATGTAGCATGTAGTTATGTATCCTTTCCTATTTTATTTAACAGAAACTATATATATATTTTTTATCTTCTGCAGTACTCATTTCCACCATCTTGTGTTGGTGAAGTTGGGCGTATAGGAGCACCCAGTAGAAGAGAGATAGGTCATGGAATGCTTGCTGAAAGAGCATTAGAACCTATTTTACCTTCAGAAGAAAACTTCCCTTACACTATCCGTGTCGAGAGTACCATTACTGAAAGTAATGGATCCTCCAGGTGATTTCTCATGTCATTTTAGGATTTTGTTTATAGTCCGTAATCATGAATGTTTCTCCGGATGTTGGACTAGACTCTCATTATCTAGAAAGTTATTTCATTTAAATTATTTGTCAGTATGGCATCTGTTTGTGGAGGCTGCTTGGCACTTTTAGATGCTGGTGTTCCAGTTAAGCGCTCTGTTGCTGGGATTGCCATGGGTATGGTTCTAGACACCAAAGAATTTGGGGGAGATGGAAGCCCACTCATTCTCTCTGATATTAGTGGCTCGGAAGATGCATCTGGAGATATGGATTTTAAGGTTTAGGTTCTTTTTCGTGTTTTATTCTACTCTTTATGATGTAATTTTAGTTAGACAACAACTAAAAACTATTGGTTAAGCTAACAATGTCAGCGCATCTTGGGAATTGCCTTCTGAGAAATAAAAGCTAGTCATTTTGTAGGTTGCTGGTGATGAGAATGGTATCACTGCTTTCCAAATGGATATAAAGGTTATATTCCATCTCCTTTCAACAGCTACTGAAGTTTGTGGATGCTATAGTTCTACTACTTCATAATGATTTCCCCCAGATTGACTGAGTTTTGCCTTGTATGCGTGCCTGTAGCAGTCTTTCTAAGTTATTTTTTATATTATATCCTTTGATTACTGAGAATGTTCCTGTGGCTGCCAGATTGCAGGAATCACATTACCTGTAATGGAACAAGCACTTATGCAAGCTAGAGATGGGCGAAAACATGTTCTTTGTAAGCTTAATTTCCATGCTGCATGCTATGTTGCTGATCGTTCCAGATAGCTGTTACACTTGTAACAATATCATCACACACATACTACTGCCCGAATTAAGTACTAAGTTTTTTCTTCTTTCTCAGCTGAAATGCTGAAGTGTTCTCCTTCTCCATCTAGAAAACTATCCAAATATGCTCCGTTGATTCATGTTATGAAGGTTTGACATCTCATCTGTTGAGCATGGTAGCTTAATCTGAGAGTTGCACAAGTTTTGATTTTATTGCAGTGACACCCCACTCTTTAATGATGTTTCAGGTGAGACCAGAAAAAGTGAATGCTATTATTGGATCTGGTGGAAAGAAGGTGAAAAGTATCATTGAAGAGACTGGAGTTGAAGCGATTGATACTCAAGACAATGGAATAGTAAGTTTTTATCTTGAAACTTGTATTTTGTACTAATTTTAACCCCCTTTTACTTAATTTTGCAGGTAAAAATCACGGCAAAGGATTTGTCAAGCTTAGAGAAGTCAAAGGCAATTATAGCCAATCTGACGATGGTTCCAACCATTGGTGATATTTACAGGTCTGATTTATATGCTGAGCTGTCCCTTCATTGTGCAATTTTTTTGAATGCTACATTGATTGTATGAATGAGATAATTACTTTTCAAAAAGCTCAAGGTCCACCACCTTTCTTCTTTCGCTCTCTTTCTCTTTGTTCAGATTATGGGCTTTGGTGTGCATGTGGGTGTCTGTGTGTGTGCCTTTTTTTTGTTGGGGGGGGGGGGGGGGGGCGATCCGAATTGCTAATTAGCCTAGTACTCTGATTGATTTGGCTGACTACCTATCATTTCTTCTGTCTCTTTTCAGGAATTGTGAGATTAAATCAATTGCACCTTATGGAGTTTTTGTTGAGATCGCACCTGGCCGTGAGGTACATCTTTCCATACCATGGCCTAAGAGCTGATTGAATTCACCAACGTGTTTTAGTGTGGCTACAAAAAGTATAGATGCATCTAAAATTCATGCATGTCCATAACATTTCAGACTTTTCTCTTAAAAATGAAGAATATATATAAGACATCATAATATTACTTTTTCAACAGGGTCTCTGTCATATTAGTGAGCTGAGTTCAAATTGGTTGGCCAAGGCTGAAGATGTAAACTCAAACTGTCCTTTCTCAGCTTGATTATTATCCCTGTAAAAAAATCTTAATTGTTTCACAAACTCACCTGTTCTCACACATCTCTTGCAGGCCTTCAAAGTTGGTGATCGTCTAGATGTAAAGCTTATTGAGGTCAGTGCCTTGTGCAGATCAACTGAGGTTGCTCAGTAGCATATAAATTATAATAACTAGATACCTGAAATGCATTTTTACTTGGATCTGCAAGCTTTTCGTCAGTGTTTGGCATTGAGTTATATAGCTAAGAACACCTTTAATGGGGCATATGTCACCATAGTAATGCACTTCTGTCTGTTATAAGATTTATTTGCTGGGGCCATACTGTCACAAATAGATTTTTATTTTACATATACAGAATACTGCAGCCTATATTCATGCTCCCAAAGTTCTTTTGGGGCACATTCTACGAACGATAGCATGATTGCAAGTTGGAGCAGGTTATAAGATTTCATGTTTTGCATTCTCATAATAAATGTTGTATAGGTTAAATGTTGTGTTTACCCGTAGTAGAAGAAATTCAAGTGTACTTAATATTTAGCTAACTGGTTTTGTTCACAAATTATTGCATTTATGATTGGTATTGTTCTTAGCTGTATATCATCTAGTAGCCAATTTATAAGAGCTGATTAAGGAAAGTAACGTGAGGAGAGGCTATCGGTGTAGCTTTCCACTTTTCTGACTTATGGAGCATATAATCCAGGTAAATGAAAAGGGCCAGCTACGGTTAAGCCATCGCGCATTATTACCTGATGCTGATGAGAATGCCAAACTACAAACAAGTAGCTCTTCAAAAGAAAATATACCTCCAAAAGATGGTTCCGCCTCTGTAAATGCCATACCAGACAGAATTCCTCTGAGAAAGGTCGTAGTGACCGACAAAAATCTGGAGAAGGTTGTTAGAAGACCAGTGAGCTCTGCTAGAGATGGTCCACATGCTAACAAGGACAAACAGAAAAAGAGTGGAAATAAAGAAGTTGCTTCCAAAGATTAGTTGTTTACAAAATGGAGTTAATTTCAATTGAGATTGGGGGACTAAATCTAGATTTAGTTCTGAAACTCTAGAAATGGAAGAGCAGCCAATTGTTTTCAATCTAAAGGAAATGCCAGGTAGCGCAAGCTTTTCCTCTCATCTTGCATCACTTACATTATTATTCCCTTCATCAGTCAATATATCGCACTGAATTCTGAGTTTTCGATGCAGAACAATAACTAAAGATTCTAATGAAGGTCTGACTTTTATCGGTTGCATGACTGCCCTTTTGTGGCGGATATGCAGTGTTTCCCGTTGGCACAGGTCCCGTGATATTCTTTCAATACAAAGCAGCCAGAGCTTTAATAACCGTCGATGTGTATTATTTCTTGGACAGCTTTTTTTCCCCTTGAGAAATTCTTTTCTTGGATAGTTATATGGAGAGATGCTTTTGTTTAACGTAGTTCTTGAATACAAAATATTTATCCCTTGGCAAATCCCAGTCAAAGAATGATGATGTGGGCAAAATTTTGAGTTACTAATATTTTGGTTGTATAGTTCTACGTTCTATGTTTTGCTAATTGAGAGAAACATCACGATTTGATTGGTTTTTTTCATCTTCACTTGGTTTGACATGATCATCAGCTTTATTTTACTCGTGGGATCCTTGCTATTTTTGATTATTTTATGAGTGGCACTAGAGGCACACCATTGGACACAATCCCAGTCACACCCCCTCACTTGCTACAGTGCAAGGGGCTTCACATGGGATTTTTTTGTGAGGGCCCCCTGCACTGTAGCAGGTGAGGGGGTGTGGTTGGGATTGTGTCCAAGGGTGTGCCTCTAGTGTTTCTTTTATTTTATTTCCCCTCTTGTCGCCCGTCTGTGCAGGTTGATAACAATAAGCCTAATTGTCCAGCAGAGCTTGGATTGCATCTGTTCGATTTTAAATGTCATCCTCTTCAAATTGTTGATATTCCAAAATTGTCTTTGAAATCCCTACGTTGGTAGATACTAAATTATATCGCTCTAATTAACTTATGTTGGAAATTTCACAGAATAAAAGATAAAAAGTATTCTTCTTCCATTCTTTTTCTTAAAAAGAAAAAAGAAAAGAAGAGGGAATCCATCGACATTACGTTCTTTTCTTTCTCCAAAATAAACAGGTCTCTTTTCCCTCTGCCCGTCGAATATGTAGGCTTATAAGAGACCACATAACTGACAAAAATAACATAGAATAATATAAAATAAAAGAGAAAAAGAAAAAAAAAGAAAAACATAAGCTATAAAATTAGTGCTGAATCAGACGAAATCATTAGACTTATTTACTTTCACTGTTTGATGTTCAGTTATTAAAATGAGCTGATAACTTTTTTTTTAATGTTTTTGATATGGTACCTCAAGAAGCAATGTTTCAGGTAATGAGCTCATCCGATCTGTATTACGTACAGCACCAAAACGAAAGAACTTCATGACCAGTCTATAATTTTTTTTATTATCCGACTTGGATGCATTTGGTTCAGTATATTTTCAACTTTTCCTTGATTAGATATTTTGGATAATTCTGTTTTTTTTTAACTCTTTTCCTTTTTCAAGAAAAAGAAATTATTTTACTAAAAAAGGCAATGAGAAATTACACGAATTGCGTTTTATAGGTTTTTCCTTTTCCTAGAAAATTTGGTCATTTCACAGTAAGACAGGCCTGGGCTTTAAGAGAAAGTTAAATGGGCCCAAAGTAAACCAATTAATTCCCATGTCTCTCTCGCTCATCTCTCTCTCTCTCGCTCGCCGGAAAGGGCGAAATTTTCCTTCTGTAAGTTTTTTTTTTCTTTTTCTTTTCCTTCTCTTGATTGATTTTTTCTGCGATATTTTTCTTCAGCTCATTTGTTGATTCTAGGGCTAATTTCCTTTCTTCTTTGATTCGATTGTCATATAACTTGCGTCTTGTTTTCAACCTCGTTAGGGTTTTTCTTTAAATTCGCGAAACTATACAAACGAAAAATCTACAGAGATTCCTGATTTTCACTCGAAAAGATTCCTTTTTGCTGAATGCTAATCCTATTATAGACCTTTCTGGATTTAGGTGAGAATAAATTTTATGAGAACTCGAGGAAACGAGAGATTTGAGTAATTACGGTTAGGGTTTCGTCAATTTCACAACCATGTCAGTCACCGCCGGGGTCAGCGAAGCTGCAATCGCAGTCCGAGACAAGCTCCGGGGCAAAATAGGGCAAACCAAGGTCAAGAGATACTGGCCTGGGAAAGCCCCCGAATGGGCTGATGATGCTGATGAGGACCTCGACATCAAACTCTCGAGGGCTGCGGCCCTCGAGCAAGCTTTCCCCTCCCACGAAGACGCCAACATCGCCCGGAGCGATGACCGGAGGCTCCGGCGACTTGCTGAGAACAAATCTGAGAACAAAGAAGAAATTAGGGCAGATCACCGGAGAATTCGACAGGCGGAGATTGTGACGACGATTGAAGAGGAGACTAAAAGGCAGGAAAGGTTGGATTTTGAGGAGGATGATGAGGACGCAATTGAGGAGAGGAGGAGGAGGATTCGAGAGAAATTGCTTTTGAGAGAGCAAGAAGAAGCGGCTCTTCAGCCGATAGATGAAGAGGAAGAAGAGGAGGAGGAGGAAGAAGAGGAGTCGGAGTATGAGACGGATTCTGAGGAGGAGCAGACGGGTATTGCGATGGTGAAGCCCGTGTTTATTCCAAAGGCTCAGCGAGATACTATCGCTGAGCGAGAGAGGCTTGAAGCTGAGGAGAGAAGGTTAGAGGAGTTAGTGAAGAAGAGGTTGGACGAGAGAAAGGTTGAAACCAAGAAGATTGTGGTAGAGAAAATTAGGGAAGATGAAGAAGTGCAGAAGAATTTGGAAGCGGAGGCAAACATTGAGGATGTGGAGACCGATGATGAGTTGAATGAAGCTGAGGAGTATGAAGCATGGAAAGCCCGAGAGATTGCAAGGATTAAAAGGGATAGAGAGGATAGAGAAGCTCGATTGAAGGAGAAGGAAGAGATTGAGAAGGTGAGGAACATGACAGAGGAGGAGAGGAGAGAGTGGGAGAGGAAAAACCCTAAACCGTTGCCCCCAACGAAGCAAAAATGGAGGTTTATGCAGAAATATTATCATAAGGGTGCATTCTTTCAGTCGGAAGTTGATGATCATGCTGCTACAGTTGGTACTGATGAGATATTCCACCGAGATTTCTCAGCTCCAACGGGTGAAGATAAGATGGATAAGAGCATTTTGCCTAAGGTTATGCAAGTCAAGCACTTTGGGCGTAGTGGGAGAACCAAATGGACTCATCTTGTTAATGAGGATACAACTGATTGGAACACCCCGTAAGTTCTCATTCATCTAATGCCATCTATCTATTTATTTGATGTAGATTCTTCAAACCATTATTCTTATGTTCTCGAAGAATATTTTTATCTAGGGTAAATTTCACTAAGCCCTCCAAAACTCTGTTGAACTTCCTCACTACTCCAAGTAACCCTTTCCCCACGAAAATCCGCGATACTTTTTTTTGGAGATTTTGTGAAATTTACCCTTATGCTGTAAAGATAAGACTTAAGCAAGAAGTCATATGGGGGATATTGATTTTCTAACTTATTCACGGCATGCTATGTATTAGGTAGTCAAGCCAGATTTTTACACTTTTGTGATATAGAAATTTAGGAAAAGTCTTAGAATGTAGAAGAACTTTGTCACTTCTTAGAAATGATAATTGTTTGTAAATTGCTCATTATATTTCTTTTTACTTGTTATTGTAGGTGGACTGTTAATGGCCCTCTTCGAGCAAAGTACAATGCAAAGATGGCTGGGATGAACACGCCAATAGAGAAACCCAAAGGTAGCAAGAAATTGAAGGACTGGGGGACCAGTTAGTTATTTTCATCACTATCGTGCAATTTTTTCTCTGTTCAAAAAAGACTGAAAGGGAGCTCGGCTTCCTGATGTACTTCATGTCGATCCTGATTAATACAGTTCGCTGTATACAGCACACGTCACTCTTTGAGTAATATATTGGCTATCTGTAGTAACTCCTGTCATTTTCTCATCAGAATGTTTAACATAAGTTTTGTGTTGTGATAGCCTTGGAGTATAGGATTTTATACATATACTTGATTCTGGGGTGCTGAATACATGCAAATGCCGCATTCTAGTTGATTTTGAATAAATCAAGGCAAACTGATTCCTAAATCTCTTAACTATAGCAGAAAACTGGGATATTAATTTCAGCCCACCTTAACATCTATGTCATGTAAAAGCAAACATTAATGTTTGATCTGCAATTGTATATTCACCACCCGTTTTCGTTTTGGGGTGGTGTATCAACCATCGGCATCTTTTTTTGTTTGGTGTCCCAGTTAGCCGAGAAGACATCGACCTTCCAAATTTTTCATCAGATTTCTTTCTTCTTTTTGATAATTTCTGCTCACTTACTCTTTGGTTAGATGTAGTTATGGTTTTACTTATCACGTGTCTATAAGCAAGCAGTGTGATCTTTAGTTATTTACCTGTCATCTGTTCAGGTTTTTGCTTCAGGGACGTCGCTGCGATATTTATGGTGGGTTCTCAATAGATATTTTTATAGTTGGGCAAGTTTTATGGACTGGTATAGATTCAGTTAGAACTGCTTTTATTGATGTGAGATTACAAATAATATTTGTTTGTAAGTGATTTAGCAAATCATGAAAATCTATTCATCGTGTGTGAATCTTGGCGCCGAGCGCTAGATTTAAAATATCATGCAAATCATGTAAACGCCTTCAATCTGCTTATTTATGACCATTGCATAGAGAAGATCATAAGATTTAGGGAGAGATGTTCAAAAGTGAGGCAAAAGAACGGGCCTGCTTCCATTGGGTATAACAATCAAATTCGTCAAATAATTCCACTGTGTGAACAATAGATTTCTGCATTTGCTGACATTACTTCAAGCTATTTGCCTTTTGCTTAGACAAAGGAAGCATGCTCTATATTGCATATATACTCTATAAACAAACATGGACCAATCAATTTTCTATCGGGAACCATGATAGAAAGAGAATTACAATGATACAACAATTGATTGTACATAACAGATGAATGCTGCTGTTTTATGCCAGACATTTTGCAGAAGTTCTATAGATCTCATCTGCGTAGGCCACTGGCACGTATACTACATCGGTCAAGGAGCTGTGTCTTCGAGCGTAGAACAGATATACCAAAACACCAACTAGTAGCCATAATAAAACTCGTATCCAAGTTCCAACGCTGAGAAACAAAGATCACAATATTAGATAAGGAGAATCTGATGATATTGAAACCACTATAACATAATCAAATAGCATAAATGAACGATGCACGAATCACACAATCTTGTAATTTCAGGATTTATGGGGCAAAGTTATGATTTGTGCAACTAGGGGATATAGATGTTTTTTTTTTTTTTTGGGGGTGGGGGGGTGTAGGGGTATTAAGGCCGTTACATTTTAACCTAGGAGTCGGTTTTCTTTTTCTTTTTTTGAGATGTAGGTGCATGAAAATTGAGTTCCCCTTCCAGGATTAGAATCATCTTTTCACTGCAATTTTTTTGTTATAATCAAATAGCCATGAGACATCAAATATAATAATTTGGAATTCAATATTACATGCATGTAAAATCCCTTGGTACTAACTATGGGCATTTTAATGCAACCTAAAATATAGGATGAACTGCAGAACTCCTATGGTTTGTATGGTTGACACAAAATCCCCCTAAATAGGGTCTCAAAGTGACACTTATATTTCCCTCTTCTAATTTCTACATAATTAATTTCAATGTAAAACCTAATATTATAGACTAATGACAATTATGCTCCCCATATTACCAAATTATGCTTATTACATTGAAAATAAATTATTAGATCCAAAACTAACGATTATTTGACCAAAATTTGAAGATTTTTTCTTTTTTTTCGTTTTGTGTAT